GTCGGCCTGCCCGGCTCGCCTGCGCCAAACGGGTTGGTGGGGGATGGAGCGCTGAGATCTGCAGAACGAGAAGGGGGGTGAGGGGTGGGGAGCGAGAGGGAGGGTTTGGAGTGGGCCGGGGGCATAGCCCTGAAATAGGAGGGGGACAAGATCTGGGGCTTTAGAAATAAGAAGAGTGGGATTCTAGGGCAAGGGCTGGGCTCTGAAAGGAGGGGCGGAGGGAGGGGGCAGTGTGGAAAGCTTGCAGGGGACAGGGGTGTTCTACCTGTCAGGAAGGGGTTCCGGGTCTTTGCAGCCTGGGGTGTCTTGACTAAGGAGTCAAGGTTGACCAAGGAGGAGGCCGAGGGGCCCAGGAAGGACTCGGGTGTTCGAGCGCGGGCCTCCTTGCCGGGCTGGGTCAGGGCTTCCCCCACTCTCCCCAGGTCAAAGGCATCTGGCTCCTTGGTACCATTTTGCTTGGAACTGGGGATGGGGTCTCCGAACAGGTCCAGCTCTGGAATACAAGTGGTCGGGAGAGGGGCTGGTCACTCCGCGGGAGGAAGAGGGCAGAGGCCAGCTCGGGGCAGGACCCTCGTTCCCCGGAGCGGTGCCATCGCCTGCCTCCTGCTTACCCACAGGGCTGCTGGGCTTCCCCGAGGGCAGGGCCTGGGCACCCTCCAGCCCCGCCTTGGTCTCTGTGGATCCTGGAGGTTTGGCAAATGGGTCAAAGGTCGAGGTGCCACCTAGAGCTAGCCCAGAAAGAAAAGGGAGGTGAGATGGGCTGGCAGAATGAGCAGGCACTACCAGGGGTGTGCAAACTTTTTGACTCGAGGGCCACAACGGAACAAAAGCATGGATGGAGTGTTTGTGTGAACTAATATAAATTCAAAGTAAACATCATTACATAAAAGGGTACGGTCTTTTTTTTTTTTAGTTTTATTCATTTCAAACGGGCCGGATCCGGCCCGCGGGCCGTAGTTTGCCCACGGCTGCACTAGACTGACCTCTTCCCAGGCCATCACCCCTCCTACCAGACAGGATCTGCTGCCCTTGGCCCTGGAGAGAAGGGGACCCAGAGGGCCTCCAGCCCCTCACCCACACCCTCTGGCCCTTCACTTACCAGGGGTGCTGGACGTTTCCACCAAGGCCCCCCAGGGGTCAGCCCCAGTGTTGGGGAGTTTGTTGGGGGAGGAATTCTGTGCCCAGGGGTCTGTAGCGGGGGCTCCAGCAGGCAGCACTGGGGTCCGGCCCCAGGGTTCAGAGGAGGAAAGCGTAGGGGGCAGGTGCCACGGCTGGCTTCGGGACAGGATGCCTCCCGAGGGGACTGGAGACCAGGGGTCTGCGGAAGGCCCCCAGGAGGAGCCGCTGGGCTCTGTGTTGGACCTGAGACCTGAAGTGGGAACAGCACAGACATGATCCCAGGCTCACCCTGGGCCTTCCCAGTTCCCCGGGCCAAGTTTCGAGGCTAAGGGATCCATTTCAGAGATTCGGGGTGCTGACTCACAACCACCCAGCAAGCTGGAGCCCAAATCTAGTAAGCTGTCCCCGGCGCCTGGACTCCGGGGCACGGGCAGCTCGGGCCACGTCCCAGGCAGGGACTGGCTGGGACAGGAAAGCCAGGGTGACAGGACCCAGGAGCTGGGTTCTCCAGATGTGCCCCCCCTTCCTCACTACGACACCATGCCACAGGGGAAGCTGAGGCTCAGCGACCCTCAGCTGTGGGAAAGGGGGTGCCAGCAAGTGGCCAGGAAGGAAGGGGCTCTCTGAGGCCAGCCTGGGAGGCTCTTGCAGCCCTGCATGCCCACCTGGGATGTCCCATGGGTCAGCGGAGCAGTGTGTGGAGGGCGGGGCAGGGGTGGGTGCGAAGATGTCCGCCAAGTCCAGGATGGAGGACTGTGGAGAGGAGAGGCAGCCATGGCTCAGAGGAGGGCGGGCCCAGAGGGAGGCAGGCCCTGACCTGTCATTCTGACTCCAGCTCATCCGCTCCATCCATTCCATAAACACCTCGTAATGACCCCTTGCCTCTGCACAGTGCTTCTCAGTTTGTTTCCTCGTCCATTGAGTGCCTGGTTTTCCTACCAATCTTGTGCAACAGGTACGGAAGGTGGTGCTGTGCCCATTTTACAGATGTGCCGGCTGAGCCCCAGAGAGGGGGAACAATTTGCCTGAAGTCACACAGCCAGGGAGAGACAGGGCTGGGCTAGAACCCAGGCCTGTCTGACCCTTCCTCACTGTTCTGCTCCTCAGCCCATCAGTGGTAAGACTGGCCGTAGGACTAGCTTACCTCCCTACGTGTCCACGAGAAAACTGGCCACAGTGAACATGCAGAGCCAGCAGAAAGGGGGCAGACACACCCCAGGGGTAGCATGGACAGCTTCGGAGGGTGGCCCTGTTTCCAGCAGCTACCTACTCCCTCCTCTTGAAGAATACGCACATGAGCTCATATGCCTGAATCCACCCCCAGTCGTGATCCACACATCACATCACCCTAGTATGTCAGAGCGGGAACTATCCAACAAGCCCACTATACAGAGGAGGAAACTGAGACCAAGACAACGACATGCCCCAGCCACAAAGTCGCAACTAATCCAGAACCCAACTCGAGGGGTCTCTGATCAGGGTTCTCTGCATCCCTTTGCCAACAGCTTGGTCACCAGCCTATACAGTGTGGGACCCGACCCGGGACTGCTGCACCCCCTCCACCCCCATTTCATTGAATAAACACTTCGGTAGTGCTTACTGTATACCCAGCACTGCTCTGTAATCTTTACAAACATGAGCTCAGTTTATCTCCCAGGCTCTTGCCAGCCCACGCACCCCAGCACCCTCCCTACCTGGCTGGTTTTCAGCTTCTCCTCCTCCTTCCTCTCTTCTCTCTCGGGCTCTCTTTCCCTCCGACGGGGGGCTGCAGCCCCAGCACCATTGGCCATGGGGGAGTCATCTCCCCGCCAGGACCTCACCTCCTGCAGAAGGCACAGAAGGAGTGAGGAGAGCGTGGGCAGCCCAGGGCGGACTTGAGGGGACCCGAGCCGAGTGGAGAAAAGTGCAGGGCGGGCGGCAGCTGAGAGGTTAGGCACCGCGGGACCACCAGGTGAAGCGGGAGGAGCCTGGTTAGTGCCCCTGAGCACCTCCACCAGCACCTGCACCAGCACAGGAGGCTCAGCCCACTACCTTCCGGTGCTCCTGCCGGCTCAGGCGAAGAGCCAGCTGCAGCTGCAGGTCCTCGTCCCTGAGGGAGGTTGGGGGGACTGGCTGCCAGGGAGGAAGAAAAAGGTGAACTTGGCCCAGCCCTCCCACTCCTGGGCCCAAAGGCAACATAGCTCTGCACAGGGCAGGGGATGGAGAGAAATGCCTGCCCAGGCAGCAGTGTGGTGGGGCCTTCCCCACGCTGAGACAGCTCCATCCTTTTCTTCTGGGCCCCCCGAGTCTCCGCGGGCCCTGCTCCTGTCTGGTCTACCCGGATCCACAGAGGAAGGTAGCACAGTGGTTGTCCCTGCGCCCCCTCCCCCGCCCCCCCCCCAAAGGATAGCTGATGGCAGGGGTGGTAGTGGTGGTGGTGGCATGCCTCTGTGTCTCCTGGGAACGTGTGCGTCAGCATACGCACTCCCTTCCCCTCTATGAGGCGGCCGCAGGCCCATACCACACTCATCTACTCCAACCCATGACACACTCACTATCCTTTCCAGGCCCAGCCAGAGGGGACTGGAAGCGGGAAGTGGGCCCTGCAGGGACAATCCCAGGGACAGACAGGCCCTGTGCTGTCCTTGGGAGCAGGACCAGGGCTTTGGGGCCCAGAGTAGGGTCGCCCGAGAGTCAGGGTGTGGGGATGCAGGCACCTCTCCTTCGCCCTCCAGTTCCCTCCCCATGCCACCCTCAGCCCAGCTGGGGGGCCCCCTGGGCTGCCCGGGAGGGGCCTCACCTTCTCAGCCTCCTCACGGCTCATGGCCAGGGCCAACTGCAGCTGCAGCTCCTCTTCTCCCGACGTCTGGGGCCGGGCCTGCTCCAGGTCTGAGGTGTAGCGGGGGGATGAGGAGGAAGCTGCAATGACCATCATGGCTTCTGTGACCACACAGGTGCCCGTGGGCTCCCACACCCCTTCCCCTCCAGAGGCGAAGGCTCAGAGAGGGAAATGGGGGGAAGAGAACAGCAGGCATCCGAGGGCCCCAGGGGGCCAGGCCGTGTAAGATCTCCTATCCCACCCCATAAAGATCCCAGTCCCTCCTTTGCAGACCCCCAACAGCTCTAAGGGGTGCCTGGTCAGAGTCCTGCAGCAAGACTTGAACCCAGGTCCCCCGACTCTTCCAGCTGGGCCCCATGCAGCCTGAGGTCAAGTGGGGTGGGAGGGTGAGATGCTCCAACCAAGGTCACGGCTCTCAGAGCCCACAGCGCACTGCCGGGGGCTTTATGAAAGGAGGGCCCTTCTGAGTAAATCTCGGACCAGGGAAGCCCCCACCAGGATGGAGAGGAGGGTCGGGAGGTGCTCATCGGCCACCCCCATTCTCACGGACAGGGCCCTCGAGGTGTGTGTGTGTGTGTGCGGGGGGTGATGGGGAATGCCACCGATGGAGCACAGTGTGCCGTGTGTCTGGGTGAAGGGCTGAGGACTTCCTGGGCCTGGTCTCATTCATTCTCGCATCAAACAATTGAGGTAGACAAGATGGCCCCTACTTAATGGGTGAGGATGCTGAGGTTCAGAGAGCTGGTTGTCCAGGCCACACAGCCTGGAAGGGGCGGGGGAAGGGATGCTCCTGGACTCCAGAGCCTGTACTTCTCCCCCACACCGTCCCACCAGACAGCGACCGAACAACAACAACAAATGCATACCAACGTCATTGTTTACCCTAGCTTGCTGAGCACCTACTATGTGCAGGGCATTTTGCCTCACATTTTACCATCCTTATCTCACGGAATCCTCATGGCATCCCTCTGAGGTCCGAGGGCCACGACTGGAACTCAGACACCTCTACTGTCCCCAGCCGTGCACCCAAGGCCCACTCACAATTGTAGGAGGACGGAGAGCCCCTCGAGCGGCCGTAGTCCTCACCCTGGCGGCGGCTGAAGCCCAGCTGCCCGCTGCCCATGGCCATGCCCTCCAGCGCCATGCGCTCCTTGGTCTTGAGGGCGTGGGTCCGCTCCTGCCGGAGGCGCTCCTCGTCCTTGAGCAGGGCCATCACCTGCTTGACCTTCTCGCGCACGTTGACGCCCTGGTCTTTGCCGTCGCGGTCGACGTACTGGAAGTCCTTCAGCGTCTGGATGGTGAAGAGGTTCTCTCGGCACTGGTGGGCCACCCGCTCCGAGCCCGTCTTGAGCAGGTAGTCCAGCAGCGTCAGCGCCTTGTACACGTGCCTCCAGTTCTTGCCGCTGTCGTTGAGCCGCCGCCACAGCATGCCCATGACCTCAGCGAAGGCCACCGTGTTGAAGGTCAGGTCCGCAATCTCGGACATGAGCGAGCTGGGCGGGCCCCACGGGTCATTGCTGGTGGCCTCGCGCACCTTGATCTCTGCCTCCGAGTAGTTGTGCACAATGTTCTTCACCTGGCGCCGCAGCGCGGAGGTCGTCATGGCTGGGGACTTGGAGATGGGCGCCCCCCGCCCCAGCCGGAGGTGGAGGGCCGAGGGCCACCGTCGCCGCCGCGAGGTCACGGTTTCCAAGGAGGGGCCGCCACGCTCTCAGCAGGGCGGCTGTGTCCTTGGGTTCCACATGGGTCTGAGGAAGGGAGGGGGGTTGCAACTCAGGGGCAGTGGCCCACCCCGCTGGCCACTCAGTCACCCCCCGAAGGCCTGTGCAGGGTGTCCCTGCTGCCAGGAATAGCCTTCAGCAGGCATTTGTTATGTTTCTTAATTTAGTTATGATTTAGCAGACACTTCTAGCCTTGCATGCTCATTTATCTTCACCGTCACACTACAAGATGCTATTATTATTATTTTCTCCGTTCACAGAGGGGAGAAATGAGGCTTCGAGCGGATTAATTGACTTGTCCAAGATCACAGAGCTCGTAAGTGGGGAGTTAGGATAAACCCCGGCAGACACACCCCAGTCCTTACCCTTATTGGGGACATGACAATGACCTCCCCCCGCCCCCGCCCCAGGTATGCCTACTGGCCTAGCTTCTGCTTGGTTCCCTCTCCCCTTTCTGCCAGGATCTAGTTAAGACCTATCCCTTCCAACTTCTCAGTCCTCACTTTTCTCTCCTCATATTGTTAATTTTGTAGCTTGATTCACGTAATACTATTTCCTGGGGCCTTCTGAGCCAGACACAGGGCTCACGTCCTGGTGCACCTAAGCCCCATGGAGAGGCTACAGACAATCACAGCCCGGCGTGGGAGTGCAGAGGAGCACAGGGAAACCAGGGGAGACTCCCCAGAGGAGGTGACGGTTGAGGTGAAACCAGAGATCTGAAGCCAAGGGAGAGGAGGAGTGAGCCAGCAAGGTGTGGGAAGGATGGCTCAGAGGGAATACTATGAGCTGGGCCGCAGGAGGAAGGAAGGAGTATTGGGAGAGGCTGCCTCTCAAAGAGATTTAGCCGCCACCACCCACGCTGTACACACAAGAGCACTGAGGCCAGAGCGGGGACACGGCCTGCCCACAGCCACCCAGCACGTAGGAGGCAGAGCTGCACTCACACCGAGGTCTCCAGAAGACTATTCCAATGTTGACCGTCAGTGTCACCACTTCTGTAATTAATTCATAGGATTGCTTTACTGTCTCAGCCCCACCTTCTCAGCCAGAAAGTAAGCTCCCTCAGGTCAACGCCAGTCTGGGCTCCCCAAAGCCCCAAGGCCCCGGGCCCAGGGCAGAACTCTGATACCCCAGCCGCAGGGGGTCAGGGCCAGCCCTATGCCCTCCCCACAGCCACGGGACCAGGCCATCTGCTGAGAAAGAACCCAGGCCCAAGTCAGACAAATGTTCTCCCACGACCCTACCAGAAACCCAGACCAGAGTCCTGCCATCACCATTACTCTGGTACGGGTACACATGGGCATGGGCACACACACACTCACACACACACACACACACATACACACACACACGCTGCCTGGACCTGCAGAGCCTCCACTTCACCAATGAACCCCCACCAATACCAGTGCCCACAGCACCCACAGAGGCTGCACCTCTCAGCTCTGCCTTGGGGCTCAGTGGGAGTCAGAAGGAGTTTGTTTTACCCCCTTCACCCCTAAATTCAGTTCACCCTCCACCCAGTCCTGCCAACACTGGGCTCATTTCAAAGGGGCCAGCGGGCCTGGGAGAGCTTCGCCCAAATGCGGGGGTCCCACGGGGCACCCGGAGGGATGGAGAGTGCTTCATGCAAGCACTGCCTACCTTCTGTCTGCCCGCTTTCTGTCCGGCCGGCCTTCTGAGGGGATGCCACTGGCCGACACTTGTTTAACTCCTGCCCTCCCCCTCACAAGTGACTCAGACCTGTCTTTACCTCTCTAACCGGTGGGCTGGCAGGTGGCAAGAGTCAAGATGAGAAATAATTGTGCCCCAAAGCCCGCCCTGAGTGCATGCCCCTCCCGGAGCTGGCCGCCGAAACCAGCAGAACCAGTCAGGCATCGTGACTCCAGTAGGAGCGCTGCCTGGCCCTCCAGCCGCCAGGGGTAGTGGGAGGGGCCCTCGGTGTGGGCCCTGCAGCCCTGCCTGGACTTTTCTCCGGGGAGGTGGGCACGGAGGGGCCTTCTCTGCACACCTCTGCCCAAGCTGGGGGAAGGGAGGGGTCTGAAACACCTGAAGTCCGAAGGGAACCAGGTAGGGAGGAAGAAGGGGGCAGGGTGAGGCCTGGGGAGCGTGGAGGGGAGGGTGGAGGAGAGGAAGGAACGCGGGAGGGAGCGGCTGGGAGCGCTGCCAGCGGTGTTACAAGCAAAGGGTTTTATCGAACACAATATGCCCAGAAATAAAAGGGAGTGAAACAGAAACCCAGCAGCCGATAAGGCGGCAGTGGCGGCGGCAGTGGCGGCCGGGCAGCCCGGTATGGAATTACTGCAGTGACCTTGAGCCAGACCCTGTCAGGTGGAGGGAAGGACACTGAGAAGGCAGGGCCTGAGAGGCCAATTCAGAGATGGGGGAGAGGGCAGGAGGGGCAGGAGGGCAGGGGAGG